TATATATATATATATATATATATATATATATATATATATATATATATATATATATATATATATATATATATATCATAGTGTGTATGTGTGTGTGCAATATATATTTTTGTAAAGTCCCATATTTCTATTTTTTTCTTCTTTGATTTGGTGACACTGTCACCGTGTCTTTAGCCTTCCCCAAAGTTATTTGCGACTATTTGGCACGTCCCATATTTCTAATCTCCTATATAGGTTAGAACAAAAAATGATAATAATAAATCATAAAAATAATATTACATTATGGACTAATTGTTTGAACATTGATGATCGCGTAATTCTCATAAGACCGTTAGTCTTATCCTATCAATGTGTTTGTGTGTGTGTGTGTGTGTTGTGTATGTGTGTGATTATGATAAACAGGCAATCGCTATACTATGCAACGAGCCGACGAATTTGCATACATGCGACCTCTGTAGAGATATTTTGAATACAATGCAGCGTCAGCGAGAAATGATGGTAACACATTGTGCTGCCACTCAGCGGACGCTCGAGCAACTCTAGCGCTCTGAGTTGTGTCGGTAATGTCTGAGAGCTCTTGTGTGTTATGTACTTGTAATTTATACATAATCTTAACCATCGACGAGGTATTTTTAAATACCTGGTCTTGGTAAATTTTTGTACTAGCAAAAAAGCCCCGAGATAATTGAAGACCGATGATATTATCGATTATTTTAGCTACCTGATATAAGTATTTAAGCCTGGTTGCACTAACATTATTTTGGCTTTAAGCGAAACTTAAACATATATCTATTTTTATCTTTCTTTCTATATAAATAAAGATAAACAAATATTTAAGATATTTAAGATAAAGATAAACATATATTTAAGTATCACTTAAAACCAAAATAACGTTGGTGCAATCGGGCCTTAAATGATGTTGGGTCTCAGACATGTTAGGTTAATAAAATATCAATTTTGTCATTTATATATATATATATATATATATATATATATATATATATATATACACAACTATCTTAATGTTTGATTTTATATACCCAACCTACAATGAAATATATTCAATATGTTTTATGAAACTGCATTTTCGTGGTTATCATTTACATTGCTTGTTATCGACAGATTTACCGACAAACGGTTATTAGGTAAAGAGATAATCCGATACATAATATTGTAAGACCGACCGGTTTCTTCAGTATTAAGCACCTCGTCGGTGCTTTGACTCTGTTGATCTCTATACATCCTATGTTCTATACCCTCAAGAAATGATATTATATTAAGTTAAAATTTACTGATGCAATATTCGACTTTAACATACAAGAGTCGCCGGGACGATACGACGCAGCTTTGTTTTAGTGACTTACCGACTCTTCCCTTGGAGAGTTGTAAACAGAAAACATGGCAATTCGGCTAATCCAATATTCCGATCCGCATTGCCGTTGATAATTGACGTGGGAGACGTCTTCCACGGGCGAGTTACTGGGCCATTGATAGAGCATTGGACAACCATAACCACGAAACATTCGGCACGCACATATACATATACTTTCGATAGTTTTCTGGCGATATTTTATCAGACGCATACGCGGAACTTGCATTCGGTACTGCCGACGATAATATCCACCTGAGACAAACTCCAATCGAATCGAAATTGCGAGACACGCGAAACGATTTCTTGAGAACGTCTTTCCGCATCGTGACCGTTTCGTTGACTGACAGCCATATTGCAATAATTGAAATATTCAAATTATTAAGCGTGCAACTGTCGCTCGGCCCTGCAGACGATCCTTGCGTGAAAGATACCGACTTTAGCGCTGCTTGACGGGAATTTTGCCGCGACGGAACGTACTTTTAATGTTCTTGATGCTCTCGATGATACTAAGGGCCTGAGCACAAAGATTGTCGCAATCGTTTTCGACAGTGTCGTGGACGTAAGTCGGTGTCGGAAGTCAACGCATAAGGATTGACGTAGACGTATGCTGCATCAATTATGTCTTCTAATCATATTTGATACAGCATAAGGTAAAAGTACCTGAACAAGATAAATGCCTGGATACGTACCTAGCATGTACCTAATTCTGGACATGCTTGTTATTTTAGTTTTAAAAAAATATTGAAATATTCAAACTTTCAATATAGAATATATATATATATATATATACAAATATTTTATGTTTGAAGATTAAAAATTCGTATTTAAAGTTGATATATTCGTATTTAAAATCAAAACAACAAGAATGTCCAAAATTAGATACATACTTGGTACGTATCTAGACATTAGTACTTTTACCTTACGTCTATGCTAAACCTTGTACGTTGACTTCCGACACCGAATTACGTTTACGACACTGTCGTAAACGATTGCGACAAACTTTGTGCTCAAAGCCTAACGCGTAAAACCCGCGATAAACAATATTTATATCTCAACTTTTCTCCCGGTAACCTTAACACGCTATTGGATATATAACTTAAAAAAAGACAGACATACTGATAAAATTTGGTGGAAGAAAAATGAGAAAGAACTAGTGCAGCCAGTTCAACAATAGAAAACAGAAGAAAACAATAGAAAACAATAAAAAACAATAGAAAACAGATCCTTAGGGTGGAATTTTAATAAGAGAAAGTTCAAAACGGACAGTCGACTGATGACTAAGGTTGTTTTCCAATAAAAAATACTGTGTTACATAAAATTTTTTTATTGGCTACCTGTTATCTCAAAAGTTGTCTTAGATAATGTGTAGCCAATAAAATAGCTTTGTACAACACAGTGTTGCTGGAAAATGGCCTAAATGTCTGGATATTCACTTTAGCGGCTGTTGAATGATTGAATTTTGCTGGAATAACGAATAAATTCGATATTTTTAATAATAACCATCGTGAAAAATTTACCCGCATAAGTAATTGTACTTTTCACTTGGTAATTTCACGAGATATTCACTTTTGACGGCTGTTTAATGGTATTCCATTGCAAGAAATGTATGTAACTTACATTCGGCATTCCCGGCGAATGATATTCGTCTAAGACAAGCTCCGGTCAAGTCGAAATTGCGAAACACATAAGACGGCTTTCCGGTAGTCTTACCGCACCGCGATCGTTTCGGTGACATCCATATTGTAAAATTGAGATATTTGAATTGTTAACCGCGCAAATTTTGCTCAGCGCTTTTGACGATCCTTACGCGACATATCCACTTTGGTGAATATTGAATTATCGAATTTTGTCACGATAAAAGATAGATTACTATTCATAGTCGAATCTTATATTTGAAACCGTCTTAAGGAGCTTATTTACTACGGAACAATTGCGTTAGTGTAACCGAATTTTCTGTTACTTGGAGACTTTCTTAAATGAGAAACTTAGTTGTAGAAAGATCCCTACTCACAGCCAATTGCTCTCAGTTATCTTAACCGAGTTTTAAAATCTGAATGTTCAGACGCATATGTATTCGGTCACAGTGACAGAAATATTATTTCTAGTCAATGAATCTCGTCCTCATTCAATTGTCCAAACTAATATTTTTCTCCATGCAAGTGTGTATTTTCAGGAACCGTATTTTGACGCATTGAGGGAACTACTCATAAATTTACTATTTATCGAATGAAACTATATTTTTATATATTTACTTTACAACAGCAGTTTTCAAGCCTACAGTCGACCATTACACGAAAACGATACAGTAAATATTATTCTTTCTTCCGCGTTTCTTCTTATATATAACAGTAAACTTTTTATTTGGATAGTATCACTTTCTCAAAATAATATTAGAAAAATAGTCAATTACATTGTTCTGATTAAGATTATAAATCAAAATTATATAAGGTGTAGTAAAAAGAAATCCATTATTTTTGCATAAAATTGAAGACTTTATTTAGCATAGTTAGAATGATCCGATTTAGAATCCGACATGAGGTTTTTTTGCGTTAAATAGAAAATGTTATCTATATGTATAATATATGTAAATGTAATGTTAAATAATATACGTATATAAGCACAAATCCATAATACATATAATATACATATATAAAATGTGCATGGAATAATGTACAATTTACAGCTAATAGATATTTCTTTGAGGTATAAACAATGTGCGTAAAATATTTATATAGTGGCATATTATTGATGTCTAATAGATGTATGGCATACGTATATAAAAAAGAAATATAAACATATATAGCTTGTGTTATTTACAATTAATGTACATTTATAATGTGTTTAATGAATGTGTGTAAGATAATATATTCTTTACGATTAACAGACATCTATTACACATATGTTAAACGTTTATTTTATATATATTAACGAATATGTTATATACGACTGTTATGTACCCAGACAGAACTAACATTAAAATCTACTAATATTAATATAATAGTCGTATATAACATATTAGTTAATATACATTAATATACATATTCGTTAATATACATAAAATAAACGTTTTACATAAGTGTAATAGATGTCTGTTAATCGTAAAGAATATATTATCTTACATACATTCATTAAACACATTATATATGTACATTAATTATAAATAACACAAGCTATATATATATATATTTTTTTTTATATACGTATGCCATACATTTAGACATCAATAATATACCACTATATATACATTTTACGCATATTGTTTATTCCTCAAAGAAATATCTATTAGCTGTAAATTGTACATTATTCCATACACATTTTATATATGTATTTTATATGTATTATGGATTTGTGCTTATATACGTATATTACTTAACATTAAATTTATATATATTATAGATAACATCTTCAATAAACATAGATGTCCCATAGATTTATAGATTTATTATATACGTC